ATGCAGTTTCTGCAGTGGCATAGTAATTTAAAATTTTTTATTGGAATTTTGTTTTTTGTTCTTTTATTTTTCTAATTGACGAAAAAAGCATGGTTTTCGCATTTGTCAGTTTTTTGTGTTTATTATCAAAAGTAAATATATTGTTTCGTCAAGTTATTGAAAATACCTCAAATCAACTTATACGGAAACAACTTTTTGAAAATATCCAAAAATTTGGGTTGAAAATTTGTTATATTTGAGTTGGTTCTAATAGAACACCCTCGTGTATGGGTGTTAGTCTGGCTGAGGTCGTCTATCGGAGTGTTGAAGATACCCATCACAAAATGTAACATACTAATAAACAAAATAAATTATGGTTAATTTCTAAACTTTCCCCCAATTTTTTCATTCGTAGATAAACAGTAGAAACATGCATTCATGATCCATAAAAATTGGTAATTATACGGTACAAAAAAGTTGAAGATGTATAGGCATTCGCCAGGTGCATGAACATTCACGAAATGTTTGAAGTTTATTTATGTCTTCGAGTTCTACATGTGAGAAATATTGATCTCTACTTTTTGGAAATATTTAACAGAAATTGTATGGCCTGATTCGGATATCATTCCGAAGAGAAATAACGAAAAAAAATGTATGCCAACGGTTCGTAACGACTGAATTCGTTGTTATAGTGACTACTGAAATTGTTATCAGTATCGGAAAATCAAGTTGAAGATGTATCTAATAAACGAAACGTCGCACTGAAAACTGTCTAACTTATTTTATATTATGAGTAATGAATGCGAGAGCGCAAATAAATAAAATATAATAATTTTATTTATTTACAAAACGGCTATTGATCGTGGCAATCTAAAAAAATATTTTATTGTCCAACTTTTGTTTTCTTCAACCAACTTCATAGGGCTTACCATTTTCAAGTAAGCAATATTAGGATCAGCTCAAAAAACGGTCTCTGTAGGAAATAACATATTTTTTTCTTTAAGTATGAACATCGTTGCAAAATATTGCACTAACAAAAGTGAATATTGTGATTTTATTCATTAATATGATGATTATAACTCATCTAATGTATATATGACATTATGCAAGTTTCAAAAATGATATTTTCGTTAGTGAATCAAATCACATTATGTGTTTTTATATTAAAATGAAAATGATAATTTTTTTAGTAATGGAAAAAGTACCATACCTCAAACCACAATGATTCATCAGTTCACGAAAATTCAACGATTTCTGCAAAAAAATAGGACCCAAGAACTTACCCTTACCTTTCCTTGCCTACTCTGTATACAGGGTATTTCAAATTCGATTCCCACTAAAATTGTATTTTTTCATTGGGTTTTCAAATGGACCAAACTCGGTGAGATTTTATCCAATAACTTGAACATAGCTCGATGTGGTTGTCGTCTTTCTGGTTAAAAGTTTAAATACATTTCCGATGTCCTAACACTGTTTCTATCGTATTTGTATCATATCTCTTTTTCTTTCATTCGTGAAAGCCATTTTTTGTCAAAAATTCAATGACTTGTACAAAAACAAAATGTCATTGAGTGTAACAAATTGAACGTTATATTTGGAAACATCAAAGTCAAAGCCTATTATGATAAGAATTAATTTTTTTCAATATCTCCAATTTTTCGAAAAAAAAAATTATGACATTATACATTGAATAGGTAAAACCTGGTTCTATTCAAAACAGAAAGAATCCAATGTAGACCCCATAAGAAAAATAAAGTTGATTATGGTGGCCGGAAGACGAAACGTCGGATAGCAAATCTGAAAACACCATTATGTAGCAGGGAAAAAAATGGCAACGCGGAAGTGCAATTTTTTTCCGATTCCTTCTAAAAATAAAGCCAAAAAAATAAAAATCATTTTTGGATTTTTTTTCCGGATATACTCGGAATTTCAGAATTTTGTCAACGGCATATTGTTGGTCAGGTAAATGTGCAACTTTGCCCCAATTCTACCATCTTCGTATCTCTCATAGTTTCCGAGATCCCAATGGTGAGGATTGAATTGGAAACACACTGTATTACTGACTATTTCAAGAATATAGAGATTTATTACTCATTATTCAGGTTCTCAAACTTGTCTAAGTTTATAATAAAAAAATGCCGGTGTGAATTCCTATTAATACTCAACACTCCATCTTATCTGACCCCAAAGAAATACAATAACCCCGCCCCACGTATTCTCGGTATAGAAGAACAACCGCGGTGACACGACAGTATCAATACAGATAAAGAAAACAATACCTGCAACACAATAAAAAGGTTTAACTAGGCTAAGGAATGTTAAAACAAACAGTTCAAAAGATAAGCATTAGAAGGAATTTGTCGAGTCAATTTTCTGTGTCAATATTTGCCGAGCAACAATACGTAATGATGTTGTGTAACATTCACTATAATACCAGATTGGTATCAAACAATGACAATCAATATTTGAACTCTTCGAATGAATAGCTTCACAGTACCAGCTCATGAATTTCCTTATTCAGCCAATGCATGTAATTGAGGTATTTGAAAGACAACTATTATTGGATCATTTTACTTTGGCATAATGGCATAAATCAATTCTCTATAAGGAAGGAAGAAAAAAATAACAGAATTGCAGAAATCCATTGATATAATGACCAATAAATACTGAGACGTTAAAAGAAATAAAAAATGAATTGATTTATGAAAATGAACTACTGAAAGAACCAGTTGGCATCATAGAAAAATAACAATCGAAACTGAAAAACGATATAGAAATAAGTGGAATGCCAGTACAACAAACAGAGATGAACAAATAATTGAAACTGCTGAAAAAGCAATCGGAATCCATATAAATTCCAGCCCAGCGTCCATTTTCCAAGTTAGAGAAACCAAACAAAAATCAAAAAATCAATTTGAAAAATGAAGAATCAAAAAAAGACAGAATTACAGCTGCAAAGACATATTACAAAACCATATTACATATTACAAAACCAACCGAAACAAATACTTGCTGGAAAAGGGCAAATAAGTTGAAAAGAAAAGATATGAATTTACATAGTATAGATATGGAAAGAATTAGGTGCGGATCCAACCGGTGATACGCTTACCACCACGGGAACGTTTCAGGTGGTACGCGTGAGTGATGTGATTATTCTCCTTGATGTGTGAAGAATTGGGTGGCGAATTCAAAACTTATCTCCTGCATACAGAAGTGAGGTGGTTATCTCGCGGGAAAATTTTGAACCATCTCTTTGAACTGAGACCAGAATTTTTCATGTTTTCAAGTGAAAAAAATCATGACATGAAAAAATTGTTTGCTGATTAAGAATGGTTGTCAAGGTTAGCTTACCTAGCCGACATTTTTGACAAACTCAACACACTGAACTTGGGACTTCAGGGACCAAACACAACAGCCTTCACAGCCAGTGACAAAATAAACTCCTTCAAGAGAAAGTTGGTCCTGTTTTGTTCACAAATACAGGAGGAGAATTTATCTGCATTCCCCACTCTATAATCATTTTTTGAAGAAGGCCTTGGGAGGCCTTTAAAAAAACCTTTAAGAAGTATTTCTCTGAAGATTATTCAAAAGTGGACTGGATTAGAAACCCTTTTCCTGAACCTCACCAAATGAATTGAAACTAAAAGAAAGTTTTATCGACAATACAGAAGATAGTTCCATAAAAGATTATTTTAAAGAAAAATCTTCAACTAATTTCTGGATCGCATGTAAAACCGAGTACCCTTTGCTCTTCCGGCAAGCTCTGCTATTTTTGATGCCATTTGTTAGAGTTACTTGTGTGAGAGTGGATTTTCTGAACTGTTGTGCATAAGAAATGAATATAGAAGCAGAATAAGTGTTGAAGAGAACATAAGAGTGAAGATAAGTTCCATTACCCCTAATGTTGATATTTTAATCACAGGCAAACAATAATAAGTTTCGCACTAAAGACTATGAAAGTATATTTTGTATGATGATTAATTTTTTCTGACTTTTCAATACTTTTTTTATTTGTTTGTTTTTAGACCTATGGGTAATAAATATAACTGTAAATTAATATCATTTTAATCTTTTTACGCTAATGAATTTCGATTCACATCGTTCATTAATGAACATACCAGAATCATGGACAATCAAATATCATAAATAGAACACATTTTTACCAAAAGTAAACAACCTTGGAATATCTTTCATTTATGAATATAATATTACAGATCATCACCGGATTATACTTAAAATTAATTATCAAATTTCTACAAAAACTATCAACAAAACATAATATAAAAATTATATTGACTATAAAAAATTAAATGACAAATTTTGAAATATTGAATTTGATCATTATTTTCAAATAAACAACTTTGATAAGCTTGCAATTAATCTCATCGATAAAATTAAAGACTCTATTGACAAAAGCACTTCTTAAGAAAAAATGAAATTTACACAACGAATAGAAAATGGATGGAATTCAAATTCTTTTTTTCATTCAATTAAAAAAAAAATTTGATGAATAATAACTACCAAAAAATTGTCAAGAATTCAGATCATTTTCTCGATACTAAAACACAAACTTATATTCACATGTGATTTCGACTTTCATCTCAAAATTTCAACTTGGAACATTGTGATGTAACTCAGAGAACAAATTGAAAATTTCGAGTTTAAAGTCAAAATTTCGACTTTTAATGTCAGAATTATCGAGAAACAAAAACCAGACGTTACCGTTACCAATGTTACCAATGTTACCGACAGTATTTGTGAGATGTTCCACTTTTTGGGAATAGCTAATTAACGATCTTTATGTTACATTAACTTATTTCAAAACTCAATTGACTTTTATTCGATAGTGTTTGGTATTAATAATGATATATGGCATCCATTCTGTGTTGGGCATAACGAAAATATACTTTTTCTTAAATTATTCTGGAAGATTTCCTATTACCGAATTCAAAAGTGACTGATAGTTTTAGACAAGACAGTGAGTCAGTTCAATGATACGAAAAACAATTTTTATTACCCACCTTTGGTAAAGCAGCCAAGCATTGCTGTTTGACATCCCAAACTAGTTGGTCCCTAGGAAACTGGAGGCATTTTTGTACATTGAGTTCGGGAACGTGTATCCTCACAAGGAGATGCCCCTCTTCGGGGCCTCGCTCATCCTCCTCCTCCATTATCCTCGCTATTTCCTCACATCTGGAAAAAAATTAAAACTAAGCATAAAAAAATTACACCATTTATAAATCAATATTGAAATAAAAAATTCATGGTATTAACATGGAATATTATCAAATAAGGTGAAATCTAAATGTGAACAGGTTTCATACAAGGAATATCATTTGAAACGTCCTTTTTTTTGATAAATTTTACCTTTCAATCGTTTGTAATCTAACTCTTGAAGAAAAATTCGTACGAATACAAATATTCAACTTCTCAATAACTTTGAGAAAAGAGTATAACCTTCATGGCTGAAGATAACTGTGTCGAAGCTATTTTCCGGGTTTTCGACCGTAGTCTCCATGTTTTTATGAATAACGTTTCGTCTACTACTGCGGTAAACATTATCAAAGTCGATGAGATAATGGTCGAAGTGCTTCAGTTGTTCTCATCGCAGAAACTACAATGTTTCCCCATGCTCCCTACCGGGTTGAGTGCCCCGAGTTGAAATTTTCTCCACACGGTTAATGTGTGCAGAACATTTCATCTCGTTCATTCGCCCCCGCTCTTCCGTAGCGGTCCTCAACTTACTTGATAGGCACTTCAGCAAGATTGACATCTGACCTTCTTTGGTCAAAAGTCAGCCTCTAGGTGCTTTTACTTTCTGATCTGTTGGATTGTTTTATCATGACTTTCCTAACTGAATTATTGCATGGGGTCCCCAAAAACTAACCGGAGACGGAAACTACAAAGTTGGGATTTTTCTCTTAATTGGATTAAATGAACCTGTTTGTGTAGGATTGAAAACAGGTAGCCAGCCTTTACTAATGTTCACTGTCTTTTTTCTTCAATTGAAATTAATCCTGTGTAGTATCTACAAAACTTTTTATATTTCTTTCGTATGAACAAATAAATAAAATCGAATTTGAAAATTAAGAATCCACATATTTTCACTTTCCTAATACGTTTACATATTACAACAAATATTTATGTTGGTTTACCCGACCACAAAGATAGAATAATTAAGAGTTTTCGTTTATTAATTTCGAGGTCTCTGGAAAGTCGAATATTTTCCCTGAAATCGAAAAGTATGTTGATTCAAAGTCGTTATTCCTGTCAACTTATTAGCAACTGATCAACTGAGAAATCTCTCTCGGTTACCCAGTTCCCCATGTGGGAGTTGTAAGTGAAATTCCCTATTAAAATTCGTATGAAATTCGATTCTTTCTCAAGAAAGGTTGATGAAACTGAGATTATTTATTGGTTCGACAACCTAAATAGGTTTACAAAAATTCACTGTTGATTCAGCCAATTCCAAAGTTTCCTGAGTGAACCATTTATCATACCATGCAAAACATCACCTCAAAATCGACGATCCCAAACCATCCTGTCTCGGTTACACATTTTCTGAAAAGTTATCCACTCTCAGGAGAATGAGAACTATTCACAAACGGTAGACTTAGCCAAGATCTAGGAAATATGTAATTCGAAAATTTTATTAAATTATGAATCAGACCATACTTCATTGTTAAACTTTCCCAATGGCATTAATATACTCAACAAAATGCAAATCACACTGTAACATCCATAAAAATATCTAAACAACATATAGCCAAGAAACCACTGTGGTTGAATCACTATATATTACCCCCCCCTACCACAGGCAAAAAAGGTTGCCGGTGCATACTGGCCACAGAAAACTTCTCAGCTACGAAACATTTCAAATATATCGTGGAGAATCTTTGTTCTTGCTAATAGTGCTATATCATATCGGTATCTGATCCAATTGAGAGAGTAACGGTATACCATAAATTATCTCTCGCGTCTATCTGTAAATAATTGAAATTAATGAAACTATAAATTAAACCGATAAGGAATAATTGATAGCGTTGCAAAATCTCTTGAAAACAATGGCTATTTTATTTTCAGAAACTCTAATCCAATTCATTTTAATATCGATAATTTCTATTGTTGGGTTAAAATAAGTACACACCGGTACGTTTCACTGACACCAATCAAAATGAATTGATGCGGCTCATGGATTAATTTATCCCATAGAAAACCACAGACATAGTTGTTACACGACAAGGAAGAAATTATGAGATAGAAAAAGAAAGAAAGAACCTCCCCTAACGTTTCTACAAAATAGAATCTAGTAAATACCTGCTGGAAAATAATTACTTCTCCGGGTAATATCATGATGGACACAATTATATTCGACAGGCATTTTTGCAAATTTCTTCACAGATGGAATTATTTCAGATATTTCAAGTCAATTGAATGATTACCTACAGACCGATTTTGGGGTATTGTGCATCATGTGCTTCCCAGTACAAGATACTTCAACCAAATGGAGAAACTAATATCTCAGAAGAAATCTTGTGACATTCATTCATTCAACATTATAAATAACAACAAAAAATTATTATGCATGACAGTTATACGAGTATAGGCAGATACCATACCTTTCAATAAAAATGGTACATAACTTGATATCGAGATGAATATCTATTTGAAGGTTGGATTTTTCTTCAACACTTGGTATATCCAGGTTGCATTAGTTTCTCGATATTTCTATCTACCGTATTCTAGATTTTTCTTAAACTCACCCTATATTATATATTTCTTTCTTTTTCAATAAACACCATTTTTTTAATCAGCCGTAAAAGATTTCCGGTTCTTGTTTTCAAGGGTGGCAAGTCTGATTTCTCCATCCTTACCAGGAAATTATTTTTTATCGAAATCGTTACCAATGAGTACATCTACATCTTTGAAATTTTCCACAAGATATTATTCTTTTCGTAGTTGAAGTTGTCCCAAATATTCGTTCCAGAACCTTCGTTCCGAATCACATCTCTAATTTTATACTTCTGAAATTATTTGCTTCTATTTCATCGACATGTAGCCCAATGTCTTTAATGATATCTTAAAACATAGCTGGTGTCGAAGCTGTGAGATCGGAATAATCTTCTGTAATAACAGTCAAAGGTTGAAAATTTACAATGGAATCACAACCATATTGAACGGAGCTTATTTCTGCGAAACCGAAGAAAGCTCTTCCGAGAACATTTTATAGTAGTTGTTGATCATCCACATCAGGCGAAAACAAGTGGAATACATTTCCAGGAACATCTTTCTACTATAATGTAACTTTGAATTTATTTTTTGTCAACATAGAAAATGCATTTTCTGCACTCACAAAATGATTTTCATTATCGTTATAAATAAGACTTTTGCGATAAGCAGCGGACTTACTCAGATTATAAATGAGCCAACCAGGATTGCTGATCGTGATGGAGAATATGTTGGTCTTCTGGTTCTCTACCGAACAACCAATCCAGAAATTTACACAGTAACCGTAAGGTCTCCATTGGGATCTTTTGGCCACAAACTCATTTCAGTGTTGAGTGAATTACCGATAAATGTTGGGAAACTATTTAGATGTTTGTTTCAGCTCTAAAGATCCATCAACTTGTGTTTCTGAAGTCACGGAAGTTATTCTATCATTCATGGATGCATATATGTATTCCTTTTTTAATGAAACGACCTTCTAACAGTAAACCTTGGTTCAACAAAAATTGCGAGAAAGCTGTCGCTTCCAAAATCTCGCCTATCGGCAGTGGGGCAAAAATCTCGGAGACGAAAACCGAACTAGGTTTGGTGATGCTCGCAACAGCTGCAAACTTAGCATGAATGAAAGCAAAGAATTTCACAATCACAGAATTTGGGATAAACTCCTTGCCAATCCCAACGGGTCCAGATCCTTCTGGTCGGTATCTAAAGCTGTTAATCAGAACTTTACAAAATCCACAATTCCACCACTAACACAAGCGGATGGTTCAATGGCAACAACAACCATAGAGAAAGCAAATCTACTAGCTGAACAATTTGCGTCCCATTCCACAGTCGATTTTACAGGAAAGGCACCACCCACTATTCCCCACACTAGAATCCACAATGCCGGAAATTACTTTTCGACAGCGCACATACAGGTATTTGCACAATCTACGCGGTCAAAAGTCCAAAATGTCAAAATAACAATAACATTTTTAAACCGAGATCCACAAATAGATTAGGAACCCGGGAACAATGTCCAAAGTTTATCTACCTGTTAGCGCGCACCTATACATTCAACTTACAAAGTGATTTTTTATGTTATCAAGTTCTTCTTACGAATTGAAAGTTATGGATTTTGATGCACAAGGTAAGAGACTTACAGATTACATAAATAAAGTTATGATCAACTATCAAACTACATCAATTTTTTTATAAATGAAAAACCCATTTTCATACTGTGATTTTCTTCAATATTTTTTATTTGCTAGTGTTTTTGTTCATGTATCGGGGTAGATCGGGCTATTATTTTCAATATAGGTTATTATTTTATCCTTTTTACTATCACTTTTTACTATCAAAATCATGTCCGGATATGTCCGGCTAGATACATTTTTGAGGAATCTAAGATATTTAGCGAAATTTCGTTTGAAATTGAAAATGTTTGTAGCGACTTTTAACACTGTTTATGTTTGTTTTAGGTTCACAGGGTGCATCAGGAGTAAGGATTGTGACCCGACAATACTTGTTTGACCTCATGAAGAACGAAAATTTGCCTAATTTAGATGCTTTTAAATATGTTAAAGATCATCTTTTGTCATGCGAAGGTTTCAGTAAAGACCAAATAATTTGAAACGTATTTTTGCCCATTTCAAATCAGATATCAAACAAAGGTGGGCGAAAGCTCATCATAAAGGAGATACATTTATAAAAAACAACCAGCATTGCCTGGAAGGTACCTTTGAAATACCTGTTGTTGATACACAAAAACGGCCAGGGCGACCATCCAAGTCGTTCGAAGACGCAAGTGAGAAGAGCAAGAGGCGAAAGACTGAACAACATCTAATTTTGAAAAGGATTTAATAATACATGCCGCGAAAGTGGAACTGGAAAAATCTGGTAAAAAAAGATGCATCAAATGTCCTAAAAGATATTATTAGTTCTCCAACACGAGCAACTTAATATAAAAAGGCATCGTATTTATG